CACACACATTGTTATTAGACACTATTATAATATTCTTATTAACATTATTATTATCATAACCAAACACCTTTGTAATTATAAACCAAAACGCCGAGCAACCGCCACGAGTAGGAAGGGAGCAAAGTCGGGAGAAACCCATGAAGCGACGCTCGACTCCAGGCCCTTTTCCTGACCATTGATTGGTCGGAAGCAAGGTGCCAAAACTAGTATAAAACCGATGTACCCGCACAAGGTCGACAGACAGTCTAATCACAATCCCCTCCCGTTTCAAGGGAGTAACCCATTTTTGCCCATTGGGGGCAATTTCATCAGGTCCCAGCAGGTTTTTTGCAACTTTTCCTGCATGATTTCTACCTTATTTCTTAAATTAATAAAATTTTATTTTAGGCTACCTAATTTCTTCAAATTCTTTTATAGTGTAGGGCGGATCTACGCAAGGTGACTACGCCAAAAATCAAGAAACAAGCCCCACAGGCGCAAGCCTGTATAAAAAAAGAAAGGTCGACAGATAGTCTAAAACAATACACGTAGAACGACACCCGTTCGAATTAAACATTAAATAAACCGACAGACAGTCTAAAACGATACTGCTAGAACGACACCCGTTCGAACTAAACATTTAATAAAACAACATCAAACACATTTCTGGAATTTTACGCCATTAACCAACCCGAAACGAAGGCCCGTTCCGTAACAATCGTACTCGTATAATGATAATTACAAGGTATAATAATTATTATAAAAACAAGTAAAGACAGAAGAGATATATGTATATATTTATTTATTCAGCCTCACAGCCATGAATCGGACTTGGTTTACAATAACCTACGTTGTAGCGTGAGGATTATTTAAATCTCACTTCGTGATTGTGAGGTCGAATTACAGCTAAAACGAAGGCGATTATGCCTCGAAGACGGCTGGTGAGAATGCGCAAATTTGACGTGAGTCAAATTTGACTTGGCCAGATCTCCCAAAGGAGGGGAAGGGGGGGTTAGGTGGAATAGGTTAGAGTGAGAGAGAGTGGAAGAGAAACTATCGTCTGTAACCCGCGAAGGAGACGTCTGTTGTCTCGGGGAAGGTATCTTGGAGAGTTGGAGCCAACCTAGAGGTGTCGCTATGATCCGCGAAGGAGCGTCTGCCTCTAGGAGGTGGATAGGTAAGGATGGCGAGGGTAGAGACAGGACAGGAAACCTGGTCCTGGAGTCTTCGTTCGCTCTGTACTGACTGTTGCAAAACAAGGAGTGTCGTCTGTAATCCGCGAAGGAGACGTTTGCTCGGTGTATGCTTGAGTAGTCTTAGTCGGTTTCCCGCAAGAACTGATTTTCTATGGCGAAATGCGAAGGAGACGCCTGCTCGGTGTATGCTTGAGTAGTCTTAGTCGGTTTCCCGCAAGAACTGATTTTCTATGGCGAAAAGCCGTCTTTTACATGTTTTAGGAAGGCTAGACCCGACCAATCAGGGTGGGTCAAGCCTTTTCGCAGGGTTTGGGGCGCACGAGCCGCTGTCTGCTACCTGAGGCCACGGGGGGTCTAGCGAGTACGCAGCTCGTACTCGGTATGGTAGAGAAAAAAAAACGGTTACTCTACAACGTTATATAAAACTATCTTTCACTCTCATTCCCTCGTACTCTACTAACTTATCACCCGGTAATTGTTGCCCCTCCCTTATACTGCAATATTCTCTTTGGTGTTATCAGCCACTCTCTGAAAGAAGAGATACAATAAATAAGAAAAATAAGTAAAAGAAACTAAAATAAATATGGAAAAAGAAATAAGTAAAGAAAAATAGTATCGCACGATTTTTCGAAAATTCTAATCTTTAGGTAATCAGAGAGAATTTAGATAATTATGATTTACTAAAATAAGTCCCATTAGTGGCAATACCCTTTCACCCGAAAAACTGGAGTACTCCGTAAGAATGGAGGTCGCAGGCTCTCCAAAGGATAATGCTATTCACCCGCGACAAACGTGTCACAGTTCTTTATATAGGTTCGACGATGTTCCTCCGAGGAGAAAGTGTTACCGGGTCAGGGTGACGACACGCCCCGAAATGATTCTGCAGAACTCCCATCGGTGTAACCTTCCATTTCGTCGATTCGTCAGAATCCCAATTCCTTCGATTCGTTGTTACGCAAGTGGAAAGTCCTGTTTAAAGTCTCGTACCGGATACAGCGTTCGTAAAAACGATTACCACGAGGCTTCCTCGTGAATGAGTCACCCGGTAGACGGACTCGAAGAGGCGGCCTCGACTCGAGCAAGCAAGCAGGTATAAGTTTAGTCCGGGGAAATGCTTCACGGGGGAAAAAGCGAGTTGGCTCGGAGAGCATAGCCGCCTCACCTTCGGTAATCATCTCTGGATCTGTGCTCGTGTCTTATGTCATGCAGCCGGTGAACTAGATTCGCGGGACTCTGGAAAATCGTTCGCCGTATTATCTTACGCGAACCTTGTCTGTGTTTGCAGCGCCGTTCAAGCATTCCTCGTGGAAGATGTTGGATTTTAGAGAATTTGTGGAATTGGAACGGATCACATTTGGAAGTTACCGATGTTATCTCGTTGACTGTTGGGATGATTAAGCATTGGGTGAAATCGAGAGTTTTTGACTCTTCGTGATGTTGAACGTTAGTCATCGGTATGAGTTTCGTATATTCCACGGGGGGACATTATCGTTCGGAGGATCATCGAGTAGGATTGTCGGTGGCATCACAATGAATTCGATTATTCATAGCCGGGCACGTCATTGAATGTTAATTGCTGCGGCGCGATCGATAACGCAACGTCCACCACGTTTCTGTACTCTTTCGTTGGATA